TCCTTACACTAATTACAGTTTGATTATGAACAGTATTTAATTTTTTGGCTGCATTTGTAGCATTCTCATCACTTAAAAATAAAAAGTATAAAACATGTCTCTTATATTCATCTGTTACTTCCATTTTAACGAAAATAAACAACTGAAATGTTCCCAATTCTGAACAGTATTATATGAATGCGATCCAATTTAACACTTCAGTGTAAAAAGTATCACATTAGACTGGCATTTTTAACAGCAAAACAAGATTTTTCTCAAGGTCATAAAATACTCATGAACTTATGGACTGACCTGATATTTTTGTATAAATTTGATAGAAAATTTACCTTCGATTTTTCTTGAGCACATTTATTCACCTCCTAAAATTGATAGAGATATATATTTTCGAGTAATTAATTAACAATTAATTATAATATATATTGTATTTAATATATAATAAATATGAATGTATAGTATTTTATAAGAATCGATTTCCCCCCCCCTCAAAGAGCGTATGTCACATTGAATAAATTTTCAAAACACTGTTTAAAACCAAAATTATATTAAAATATTTTGTTTTAAATCTCATTGACTAGCTATAAGCTGATATTATATAAGAAACTTTATAAGTTGAGATACTTATTTAACTTTTTATTGAATTATAAAGTTTTATAACTTACTCCCTTTAGAAAGAGTGCGATTTGTGACGTTAAAACTTTGGTCTAACGTCACAAATTTTTAATGAAACTTTGTTTAAAGTTTCATTAAAATTGCACTAATATTTGTATTAAAATTTGAAGTAATAATTGCGAATTAATATTTCATTAAAAATGAAATATACGAAATTCTTTGATACATTTTTCTTGTATAAATCATCAAGACTTTATCAGAAGCAATAATCTACTATATTTATAAGCGAATAAATCCGATAATCCATAATTTACCCAAATAGAATATTTAAATTTTAATTAAATAATTAATAAATTAATTGAATAAAGTACTAATTACCATTAAAAATGTTGATTTATTAAATGAATCGATCCGAGAGTACAAATTATTACAGCAAGCATCCCAATCATCTGTCCACTAAAATAGAAATTTTTATTTAGTTATTTATGAAATTTAATAGTATATAAAAAATAAATATTCAGTAATTTTCTGCAATTTATTATAATTAAAATTACATTTTGCAGTTTTAAATAAAATAAGAATTAATTAAGAAATTCATTTATTTGTATTTAACAACGTTTAAACTTACTTGTTTGGTATTAATTTTTTCGATAACACATTCTTGCAATTTTTTAAGGCATGGATCAGAGTATATTCCCGATCCTGCAAATGAAATAAAATAATTAAATTTCTTATGTAATTTTATAATAAACTACAGTTATTCAATTTATTAAGTCTTCTACTGTAGGACTGTGTCTTTATTCTTTCCTCCTTGTGGAAAGTTTTTATTCATGTATTATCTTTCAGTTTTGGCTTTTTATAATAAAAAGATGGAATTTATAGAATATACATTAAATAAAAAAAATATTATTCATTATATAAATATTATTCATTATATAATTCATTCATTATTCATTATATAGTTCTTTATATAATAAAGAATATCGAGAATAAACAGATATAATAAACGAAACTAAAATAATAAAATGCTAGACTTATTACAGGGACGTCAGAATTGTTTAGAATTTCTTTTACTTCAGAGAAAAAAGTGTCTTTAATTAAAAACTAAAAAATTATCAAAAATTATTCCATGCAGAAGTTTCCACAGAATGGATTTTCAAAGAAGTTTTTCTACATTTTCCCCCTCTAATCTTCATTTTTCCTCTCCATTTTACAGTCTTCTACTGTCTTCTGACAGTAGAAGACTGTAAAAACACACAAAATGCTAATCTTGTTTTCGTACTAAACTAGAATGAAAATCTTTTAAATACTAATTTCTATTTTATAGAAAACTACATAATCTTATTGTGTTTATACTTTTATAATGGCAATTTAATAAAAAAGATAGATTTTATTTAAAAAACTATTTTAAAATTTCAACTTACCTGTAGTTAAAAATACGAAATTTATAATAATCGAAATCACGAATATAACGTAGGAATTCATTTTCAAGTATTCAAGTAAAATAAATAAAATATCTGCAAGTCTGAATACACAAAAATATAAAAAGGAAGTGTGTAATTTCATAACAGCTGCTCATAATGTCTATATTCTTATTATGACGTTTTTGAAAAACGTCATAAGAATAATACCGTACATTGCCTATCCACTACAATTGAACAATAATTTAAGCAAAATTTTGTATAACTGACACTAAAATTTAAGGAAAATATATATTTTATTTAATTTTCTTATTGTCTATATTGTCTTTTTTAATTATTTCCTTAACTTAGATATGATGATAATAAGTTTTTAAATACATCTCTGCTTTAATATTTCGGTCCAATTTAACTACGTGACGATTTATTTTGTTAAAAAACCTTGTAAAAATGTCATTATATATTTTCAGTACATTCCTTTATACTTTGCAGATATATCTTGAAAATTTCAAGCCCTTATCTTTATAATTAACGAATATAATTGAAGATAATTGTCTAAGGCAGAAATTATCGTTATTATTATTCTTAAACCAAAAAGAGATAGCTAAATTCTTATAAATTAAGCGGAATTTCTGTTTATAAAGCTGATTATCTGATTATTTATTAACATAAATATTGATCAGTTAGTTATCTTGAAGGAAATATAAAGAATAAAATATAATTCAGTTAATACTATTGAAGACAATTGCACTTTTATTACTGTAACATTTGTTATAGGGCCTACGTCAGGTAATCGTTCTGAATTAATTACTCTACATAAGAAAACAAATGTGGATTTATTACATAAAATTCGATAAATGAGATTTTGAAAACGTAATTATTTTTAATTATTTAATTTTAGAAAAAAGATTTGGTTTGATAGGAATGCAGGAGTGTCGAGAGGAAGGGAAGCTGTGGATTTTTTTTCTCCTATCCGGAGAAAACTTATGTGTTCGTAGTGGTTCCTAACTGTGTAAAATTATTAATTTTACTAACAGAAAATAAAATATTTAAGACTGCTTTTTACTAAATAACTAATCAACTAAATAAAGATGAAATACCGCCAAGTGTTGAAATAGAAAAACACCTTGTGTTAGTGAATCANAACAATTTAACCTCCACAGATGATTGTACTTCTAATTCAAATTCGCCTGGACCCCTTGAAGCTATGAGATGGATTACAGAAGATATGAAAAGTTTGATCAAGACTGAACAAAATAGTATAATTAAATATACTATTTTGTTTAGTCAAAGGAAAACGGACAAATATCACTTACAGCGACTCCACTTAAAATAAAATTTATAATACTAAAGGAGAAATATACATACGCATTGCAAATTACGTTTAATATATATAATGTGATTGATAGTTTATATTAAAATAATAATATAAAATAAAACTTGCAAGCTAATAAACAATTTTAGATTAAAAGCAAGCTAAAATGTGCTTTGTTTCGATTTCTGAACAATAATATATTTAACTTCTATTATTTATTTATATCTGTAAGTTTTTTTTTGTCAAGAACAATACTTAATAATAAATATTTGTAAAAATTAAATTAGCTTTTTCAAATATTTATTAATATGTATTTTCTACAAAATATGAAAAATAAATCATCATTTTATTTATTTATATTTATGAATATTTCTATTAAAAATCGTATATTTATTTGAATTTAAACAAAATCAAAGTCATTCGTTATAATTTCTAAATTTACTAAATTAAGATTTAACACAATTACGCATATTAGAATTAATCGCAATTATTATAATTGCGATTAATTGTTGTAATATTTTCCATTAATTGTACTTTATATAAATTTTTATCAGTTTAATAATGTAATAATTTACAAGAAAAGTAAAGGAAAAAAAATACATTTCAGAGAAATTATTTATTACTAATTATACTTAAGCAGTTAAAAATATAGGGTGGCCCAAAAGTCAGTTGACCATATATAGCTTCCCATTCGCAAATAACAATTTAATATGCAACTATAAGTAAAATGGATTTAATATAATGTTTTCTATAGTCTTTTTTATATTGAATAATTATATTATTTTATTTGAATAATATATAATTTCTAAAATATTAATATAAATTTTATTTAAAACTCCTGGGCTCTTCGCATTGAGGGGAGGGTTTAGCCTATAAATATTATGTATAATATCTACATACCATATTTCATTAAAATTATATAGATATTATATATTTATATAACTTTAATGACATATGATATTGAATGAGTTAATATATATATTATTAACGCCATTGAATAATGGATGAATTTTTATATTAGGTCTATGGAATTAAAATTTCAATTCGATGTTTGTAATACATTAACTACAATACTAAAGGGAGTAAAACAAGTAAACGAGTGTATTTAACTCATCATTTAAGTATCTAACATAATTAGAATAAATAAAATGATGTAAAACACTTCGTATGTCATTGTTTTAGTATGTAGTCCATTGATTATATAAAATAAACGATATTTGATATAATTGATAAAATAATACGTAGCATTAAATTAATTCAACTTACTATTTCATATATTTATATTAAAAAAAATAACTTATAAAAGCATTTATAATATTATTACTTTATATAAATTTTAATAAAGAGAGAACTAAATCATTTTATTTATTAAATTTTCGATCGAAATATTATCGATTTATTCTTCGAAAATATAAAAATATAAACTTAATTTTATAATAATATTTATAAATATACATATAATATTGTGTATTAATTAATTATCAATGAGTTTGTTATACAGCATATTTAGAAAATGAAAAAAAAAAAAAAACGGAAAAAAGTAATAAACTTTGCCACCGTTTTCAGCATTCACCAAACTGTTGAACCCTTTCAGAGGGATAACTTGGCGCAGATCCCTTAGATTAATTTAATTAAGTGTATTATATCGTTAAATTAAAAATTTTATTTCAACTTTTACAACTTCTTACTTTACATGACCATTCGCCATGTAATACTTCAGAAACAAAAATGAATCATTCTGTTACCTTAGCATTAGATATCATTTTTGTGAACACATCGTAACGATTACCTGCATTTCCATCCACTCGTATCTGCGTTACATAGTTTATGAACAGACCCTTAATGCGAGGATCTTTTTTATTTTTGATTCTTATTACCCTCGGGCGTTTTTAATCATACCTTTCATGCCAAGCTGCTGTTGTAAAGAGGGGGCTTGATGTATTTTAAATTTATAAATGAAATCTTATCAGATAATAAATATCAATGTTTGTTTGGATTGATGAGATAAGGCCACATAACATGGGCGATCTGCCAAGGAGAAAGAGTCTAACGAGAGGATTTTTTTGGAAGTGATCACTATTTAAGTGTTATATACGCAAAGAAAACCCGGAAAACTTCACGCGGCCAATCCGTTGATCAGGTCCAAATCCATGATCAATTATCAGGTTTAGTGGTTTTATCCACTCTGCCACTAGCGGGCCGAAGAGAACAGTCATTAATTATGTATAGTTCTTACGCCATTTTTCACTCCTTCCCTGTTGTGTACAATTATATACTTTCGACATATCTTATCCCTTTTATTAACGTTTACAATAGTTTACGGACCTCCCTGAAATTGAAAAAAATGCCAAAGTTCTACTAATATTTTGTAATAAATTGGCTTATAAGACAGATTCTTTTGCCATTTAATGCCACTAAAGAAATCCAAGGAAGTACGTAATCCCTTGACACTCTCTCCTTATCATGTTCAGTGACGTACTTTTAGCAACCCCTTCTCTCACTTAAACTGTACACGTAATTAATGGACGATCCCAAATAAACTTATCAATATTATTTTATTTTCGATATTAGAATATTTCATTTATAATCGTTGAAATTTTATTACAACATTCTTTAATTTCAAAGTATTTATCATTTATTGTATCCTGTAATTAAATTCTACCCTTTTAAACGTTTCAAATTAATATTAAATTGTATATTTTATTTTTATAACTTTCTATCTGTATTATTTATAACCCATTTTTTTCCGGAGGACATGGTTCTGTGTAATAATTATTTTGTCGAAAGTTCTAATAAATTATAAATCATTACGAATACATTTTGATAATATTAAAAAATGTTTTAAATGTTTATTAGTTCAACTTTATTAATGCCTTACGTTTATAGGTCTAATAATGAATCATAGAAAAAAAAATTAAGTCAAAACAAATATATATTTCAAGTTTGTTAACAAGGTAAACATCTCAGAATAGTTTTGAAAATAAGGATGTTTATTCAAAATTTTAGCCAAAATTATCAAAAACAGTAACAAACAAGTAATACAAAAATATCTTTTTATGTTAATTATAATTAATTTCATTATGTAAATCTGTTATAAATCTTAATAATAAGCTGATAAATGACACATACACGTTTAATTCATAATAGAAATTTTGTGACATTTTATACGATTTAATTGATAATTTTTATGTTTTTGTTAAAATATTTATTTTTATAATATCGAATAATATGTTATTTTAAAAAATCTTGTAGTGAAATGTTTTCTTTATTTAAATCTAAAGTATAAAGTTTTGCTTTAAAGACGACACTTTTCTACGTAATTCACTTTTATCCAATAGTAGCATTTATTAATATATCGTCTCTACTTATAAAAGTATAAAAGGGGTTAAAATATTGGTAATAATAATACAAAGGCTTCGATCAGTTAATTAAACATGATCTGGTTTCTGTTAGTTTCCTTTGTTTTAACACTGAGTTTCAATCCTTCGTATGGAAAAGCAGTAAAGGTAAATTTTAAGTAGTAATATTATTAAATTTCTTCTTTGTGTTTTAAATCAATTACTTTATTTATCTTTAGAATTAAATTTTATATATTTTTAATTAAATGATTAAGTAATTTAAGTCATATATAATTATTTTATTTAATTAATATTGTTTTTCAAACTCTCCACCGTGTGGGCACTAAGAGGCCTTTTAGCAAGTCTGTCAGGCCCACAATGGCGTGTTATAGCTCAGGCGAATTTGAATTAGAGGCCTTAATTACAGTGTTGACTTCAGACATTTTTCTTTTTCGGGGAAATGCCTTTTTATAAAAAATTGGTATGGAACCCTTTGGATGATCCAGGCAATTGTACTTTTTTGCCCATAAGATAATGTGCCACTAGGAGGCCAGGTAATCAGAAACGGGCTCGACGTATCCGGACGGACCACCCCCAAAAATATTCATTCCGGGTCCCCAAGAGCAGTAGGCTATCACCTTAACCGATCGGCCATCCGGATAAGATATAGGTTATTTAATGCATAAACATTTTAAAAAAATGTACAGTACACAAAATAATCTTTTGTAATTTATTTAGAATTTTTTAAAATATATTTATTTAAAATAATTTTGTAATATTGTAATTACAGAGGCAAGTTCTGATAGCGAAAACAGAAAGTTGCGATCCTGCGGCACCGTGTGGATGGGAAGTATACGATCGTAGATATGGAATAGGTCAGGTCTTACTATATTGGCAAGAATCATTGTGAGTATTCAGGAATATTTTGTAAATATTCATTTTCTATTTTATATTTTTAATTAAAATATTTGATAATTTTTGTTAATTAATGCTAAATTAAAATTATATTCGAAATGTATTTTTTGAATGAAATTTTATACAATTCTATAATTTCAGAAAGAAAAATATTTAATACATTTATTGATTATCCAATTAAAGACCTTAAGAATTCATAGTTTTTATTTTATTTTGTTAAGCTTATTGCTTAAGGCTGATTGTAACCTCTTTGGTATTATTTATTTTAGTTGTTGGTGCGAAGAAGGAACAACATGCAAGAAATTTACTTGGAATAGTCAAAATTTTACTTTTGAGTTCAGATGCAGAGATGAAAATTTCACTTCTTCGTGGGATTAAGACTCTTCTAAAAACATAATATTTATAAAATAGAAAATTATTTTCATATATTTAATCAATGTAAACAATTCGAAACTTTTATTCAGTTTAAGACATAGAAAATGGGTGGTGCTTATAGTATTTTTTAATGATTTATTAAATTTTATCTTCAACGATAATAAATATTATATTTATAAATACAAGTTGGTTGATTGGTGAATTAACGCGAGACACCACGTTGTATGTCATATTTAAACCCTTTATGAGAGTCCAATACTCAATGAATAAGCATTGGATGTAGGATAAGGAACCATACCTCGATTCGTTATAAATAGTTCGTCATCATAATGAATAATATATCTGTTATGATTTAAACTATTTCAAAGAAATAAGTTGAAATAGCGTATTTATAATATGATTAAAAATAAATAAATAATTTTTTTAAACTATGCGAAAATGTTTGTTCTTATTTCTATAATATTGTTAGAACTATTATTTTCTACAAATGTAGCCTATATATATATAGAGTATTACAAAAGCCAGTTACTTAGCGGCTTCAAACACAAATAAATCACTAATGAAGCTATTCGAACCGATTTTAATCACTTAAAATAACATTAAAAAACCCCGATTTAATAGATAATTAAAAGTTATTATTATTTTATTTATTTTCATTATCCAGTTTGAAGACTTTTAATGCTATATTTTATTTATTAATGCTTAAATTTTACAACAAAATTTATCAATTAAAATTCAAAATTATTTCAATAGTCCAAATTATCTTGAATAAGTGTAAATCCTTTCCGGATGATGAATTCTTTCCTAAATAAAATATTATATAATAAATATTTTCTTAATAATTAAAAATAAATATGATAATTAATTATGGAAAAATTAAATTTAGGCATAAATTATTTTTAAAATATTTAAAGTTGTAAAACATGGCACTTATTGCCATTTAATATCATTATCACGATATTAAGTGCTATGTTTTATGAGTTGTGGCAAGAATTATTACATCCAACTCGGACCAAATGCTATTCTTTGTTTTAAAATATAAGTAAAAAGGATTTTAAAATATAGTTTTAAGGAGATAATAATAAATATTCGATTAGATAAATACAAAATTTTCGATATGGACGCCAATTTTAAGGGACTCGATTGGCCTCAATAATATTTTAAGTGAAACTACCCTCTTAATCAATAAATAAAATAAATTATGCTACCTTTATTTTTCTTGAAATTTTTCGGCATAATTCTTGCATTGATCTTCAGATTCTGGAGGCTAATTATTTAATGTAGTTAATCATTAAAATAAGAACATCAATCACTCACTCAATGAAATCAATACATTCATTGACGAAAAAGTTAAGCAACTAGATAAAATTGGCCGATTAATGCAAAATTTGGCATACAGCTTTGCCTCAGATAGGTATGCAACCGTTTCTGTTGTGATCCGATCGCACGCCAAGTAATGTTACAAGAGTACCTTGAAATTGCTATCCCAATATTCTATAAAAAGACTCGCTGTGTTTAGAATTTTCAATGTATCTATAGTTTGAAGATCTTCGTAGTCAGATATGCCTGTACAACGCAAAGAAACTTGCACAGTTGAAGGAGTTTGAGTCTTTCTGACTTGACTCTGACGGGGTGTTGAAGGTAATGGTTACATGAGGGCACACATACTTGGTGGACAGGTTCTGGGCGACCTAGAACAGAGACGGAAGGCTCGCTGTAGAACCCTGTCTCTTCCTGCAACATAGATGTTGCAGGAGGAGACAGGGTTCTACAGCGTGTTAGTGGCTCTCGTGTTATTGTGAAAAATCACTAGTGAATACTTCAGTCCACCTTCAATGTTGATCGGCACAGTTCCCCACAGTTAGCGTCTGGTCTGGCGATCCATCTCATATGATAGTCGGTCATCCCTAATTGGTACATATAACACAGATGCCACAACGGTACATTCAAGAAATCCTGTGGTCTCAAATGTTACCTTTCATTGCAGGGCTGCAAACAGCCATTTTTCGGAAAGCTAATGTTCAACCACACACAACTAGTTTCCCAGGAATGTCTCGCCACGATGCTACATTACCTTGGCCTGCCTAATCTCCAGATTTGTTCCCCATCTGGTATTTGTTGGACTGGAGTGAGACGCTTTGGCCATATACGAGGGATCTGGAGAGATATCTGTGGACAAATCGCGCATACAGACTTACAGGCACATATGCCTACAAGCCCGATCATCACTCTGAGTATTCAGTCCTACAAAGTACTAAAGATTCATTTAAATTGCACCATTACTACAGAAGAAATTGTACCTTTGCTATGATATTGTAATCACTTATAATCAGCGTTTAGCCTAATAAAGTATCATTGGATTTCATTGCTTCCTTCTTGATGCGTAACTTTTTTGTAAATGAGTGTAAATAATGAATGATTAAACAAAACTTACAGTTAACTTTCTGAATTTTATCTGAAAAAATTTAAATAAAAAATATAAATTGAATAAAAGAATGTTTAAATATTGCTTAGTCTGTACGTTTAATATTTACGTATTAATAAACTTGTTTTACATTAGAAAAATTACTATTATAAAAAGTTATAGTTATTATTAAAAACTTTGCTTTTTGCCCTTATATTAATACTATTTAACATATTCATTTTTACATAAACAAATATTTGGGTTTCTTGTGTATGACAAGCCTTAATATATTGTTTACTACTGTTTTAGTTTACGTAAAAATAAATAAAGAGGTTGCGGCCGATGTTTTTATCGCAAAAACGTGTACGTCGGACGTTCAGCGCCGCCATCTTATAAGCCTAGAAGTTTGACAATGGCGTTTGGAACATCAGTGGAATCATACTCGATGTTCCAAACGCCATTGTCAAACTTCTAGGTTTACAGGAAGGCAGCGCTGAACGTCCGACGTTCACGTTTTTGCGATAAAAACGTCGGCCGCAACCTCTCTAATATGTTAAAAATGTTAAAAATTATAATGAAATTGTTAGCATAAGAATTACTTTCGAATTTTTTTCTCTTGTATGATTATTCTTAAGACTCTACTGATTCTCGACATAGTTTTATCCAAAAATATCATATTTAATAGATTTTATACTGTACTTACTATTCTACGCCTTTACAACAGTTATAGTAATTAAATCTTATAATATTTTTCTGATAGGTTTCATTTTTGCACAATAATGTCTGTCCCCATAAGACCAGGCTTTCAACAATTTACTTGAGAATAAGAAAATAGATGAAGTGTGCCAGATTTTCAAACTTGGAATACCTGAAGCTTATGGAATTCCTCCCACAACCTTCTATATCGAGGTATCAGATTTATTGTTTACAATGTTGATAGGCAATTTCATATTCAGTAGGATTCATATTTTGAGAATTATTCGGACATGAGAGTTGACCATGTCAGAATAATGTCAAGAAGTTATGAAAGTATATAAAAGAATATAATTTTAGTTTAGCTTACCTCTAAATTTGATTCTTTATTCTCATTAAATTCAATGCATTTCTTTTTCTGTAATATAATAATCGTTTAATATAGAAATTACAATAATTTAACATAAATTATTTTTTCTATAACTTATGTTATCATTCATTATTTATCCCATTCTCTTTTGTAATGTGCTGACTTGGAAATCGAATGCACATACGTTGCTATAAAAGTAATAGATACTACCAAAAGTAGGTATAAGAGATAGAGAGGGGATATACCACTGGCATTAAATGAGAAAGAGTGCTATAAACTCTAAAGACTCACTATACAGTACTATTAAAAAGTACACTTTAAAGGTATTTTAAATTGAAGTACAGTAGAGCATCGATTATCCGACTCAATTGGGGACTGGGGTTGGTCGGATAATTGAAAAATCGGATAACCGAAAAGTATGAAAAAATCCATTATTAGTGTAGTATATTATTATATCCCATGTAATTAGTATATTANCTGATTTTAACCAGTTCTATAGTAAGGTAACATTCCAATAGACAATATGCAAAGCTTTTTTCAGTTTAAAGCAGTATTTATTACACAAAATTTAAGTAAAGCTTAACATGCCGATCTTGCCCCGATCTCCCCTATATGTGTGTATGTATCTGTGAATTTGTTATTTACGTATTTACGTTATCTGTAATAATCTTAGTTTAGCCACTTTATTGTCACTTTAATTAATTATTTAGAGATTTTATTGTATTTAAACTTTGTGTTTATTTTATATCCTTTTTCTTTTGAACCCACATCTTGAAAATACTGAGATTGTTTATACATGGATCAAAGTGTAAGAGGAAATTTGCTATTTTTCCGATTCTAGGGATTTCTCTACAGAAATTTCCAATAATATCAACTTTTAGAATGATTTAGAGAAACAACTTAGAATAAGAAGTTTATTAATTAACGGAAATAAATCTCACAACATGCGAGGAAAAGGATGAGAGGACAATTAAGTAATTAAATAAATTTGTAAAAGAATAAAATTTAAAGAAAGTGGGAAAAACACCACTTTATGCCCCCCCGCCGATCATAGCAGAGATCGAACATCGTTTCAAGGCACAACAGTAACCAAAACAATCGATGAATAGTGATGGGATTTGTCAGTGATGACTTCTGTAATGACTCAGCTCAAAAGTCAAACCAATACGATAGTAAGCCATATCATAACTCTTTTGCCCTGAAAAGCGTATAAAAGAGGCACAAATCCAGACACAGACAGAGCTCCTCGGTAGACAACGGTAGAAAGTACCGGCCTCTCCAGACTCTCAAAGAACCATCCCATACAAGGAAGGTATCAACGGCGGACACCAACAGTAGAGATAAGTGGACCCATCCCGCCATAATCGCAAGGAAATTTCGACTAGAAGCGAACGCTATTTACCGGCAGACATCAGTGAAGGACCAAGACAAAGGGAAGAAAGAACTAGATCAGGTACTTACAAGAGAAGACGGCTCTCTTTTTCCTGGTATGTTGTAATTCGGATACCCCCTGTTAGGCAGCCCTCCTCGTTTTATAGATAGAAATAGGCAGATTTCTTGAATCGAATTTTAAGAATGTTATTCAGAACTTAATTTTTGATAATAAACTCTTGTTATTTGTATTTGACTTTGCATTCATCCTCCTGAGAGGCTCATTCCCGGACTTCAGAGTGACTCTTACCCTCGCGCCTTAACTATCGGGTTTTGACTAATCGGCGGTATGTCCGACAAAATACAACTGGTGGCAGGACCCTATCCTAATCTAACGTAAACTAACATTTGACGGCCCCTGGTCCCCACAATAAAAATGACGTTTTAAAGAGTCAATAATAGTGCACGAAGAAATTAAAAGATGCAGAAAAAATGAGATGAAGGAATAGAAATATTGTTGAAGAGAAATGATTTAGGGAAAGTGGTTTGGTGACGGAGAGGAAAAGTAGCCTATATCACGAATGATCACGAAGAAACAGATAACAACCAAGGGTAGGATAAGGAGATGAAGGGCAGGAGAGATCAAGATCAAAAAGACAGGAGTGGAAAGAGGAGATGAAAGAGGACGGGTGATGATTCGTCCTCTTCCACTCCCAAACCAGATCAAACCCAGCATTCCCATGGCCGATAAATTACGGTGTCAGTCTTTGGGAATCCCGGGAATAAATCTGGATGGGTCTTTCGTTACTTTCGTGTCGCGAAATTATTTTTGGCTAATTGCAAACTAATTACTATATATGAACGTCATATTATATCACACGTCTACAATTCATCAAAAAATAATTGCCTCTGTATTATAATAAATGTTCTAAAGTATTTAATAAATTTAACTTATGAACACATTTAAATCCTTATTTACAAAAATCTCGCTAATAAATTGTTTAAAAACTATTGAAAATAATTTACGGAAACGTTTTAAAATAATTTCGTTTTATAGTAAAGAAAAATATAGAATTATTTGAAGATTATTTGAACATTTCACAGAGAGATATTTTTCTTTCAGACAGCATCGCAGCAAATTCGTCTCACGCAACTTCACGCTAAATTAATAAATCGTCATAGATATAACTAAAAGTACACAAAGTCAGTTTATATTATATGATTTGACAAAAGTATGAAGATTAAACAACGAATTTCAGATTCAATATGCAAGTTACTTCACGGAATGTTCATGAGAATGGAAGATACCTAATGTCATGGTTTCAAAGATTCATTCAAAGGTGTCTTTAAATTGATTTACATGCAGCAATTATTTATTTATTAAACGTAATAATAAATGCTGAAAGTAACAACGATGATGACATAAAAACATGACATATCACATGATATTAAAATAGCAAACTAAACTGACTTACAAGGAGAGATCACAACTTCATAATCATAGTTTTCAATGATATTGTTTGCTTGGATAAACCTTGGTATAAACCTTTATCAAGTAAAGAAGAAAGCGCACTTCTCAAATGTTTTCAAGAAAATCGAAGTTAAAACTCCCGAGCTACTTATTGGTTTGCTTGTTTTATTAGCTATGAAAAGGAAAAATACTTATGATGAGAGACGATCAGAAACCAAAGAAGTGACATTGAAAGACGATTATTTACTATCAAACACAATTGAATTTAATATTATGAGTTAGTTGTAACTAATATTTTTCGAGTTTATTTAATTACTTAAAATGTTTAATTATTCATAATATTCTTACATTCCTGAACGTAAAAAGTTTACATTTATTTTTAACGAACAGCAATTTCGAAAACGATCGTTGGGAACACCATATTTATCAAACAATATGGGAAAAAGAGGACCGCCGTCCTTAGATGGAGTTATATATTGTGTTGGGTCGTCTAATGCAGTGGCGCCCAAGCTTTTCTATTGGTAGCCAAATAAATCATAGGTAACTGGGCCACAAATATATTGCATATTCCAAACATCAACAAAAAAGGCTTATTTCTATCGTTTAACTGATGTGACAAATACGTTTCGCCAGCCGAATTTGGCCTGGGGGTTCGTAATTTGGGCACCACTTGTCTAACGTATCGCTACTCAGAAAAGGGAAATAGAAAGCTCACTGAAACATGTTTTACCGTAAATATTTCTAAGCAGCAAACGTCTAGCGTGTTCCTCGGCTACTCCCGTGGGGCACAAGCTATATAAGGATAAAAAATGATATTGTACATTATTGAATCAACGTCAGATCATCGCTCCCACACGCTGGCCTGAAAATAAGGAAAGTAGTTTTGGTCAATATACGACGAAGTTGCATGGGACAATGGACGAATATCATTCATTTTATATTACAGAATAGACTAGAAGTCATGAATTTTCTGTTGATAGAGAACACTTGAAAATTAGAAAAAGGTCAACCGAGATGAAAAAAGAGCACGTGCCCTAAGTGCCCCACAATGTATGGGCACTCCTGGTTTTCCTACTTAACTCTAACTCTTTGGTTGTGAATAGAAACATAAGAAAGAAGAATGTACATAAAATCACCATCTGGTTTTTCTACGTCATGAAATCTTATTTGTTTTAAATATTTGTTCATTTATTTACATAAAACTATTTTCTTATCGATTTTAATAACAGAAATACGGAATAACCTAAATAAATAGTAATTCAAGTTCTATACAAATAAAAAAAAATAGACCTAGACCTACATTTAATTGGGAGCATAATCTAGAATTACAGTTTTTTTCTTATTTGTTGATAAAATATTAAAGAATTAGAACGATAAATGCAATAAATTGAAATATTTTCGATATCATTTTTAGTGTTTAAGTATTAATATAAACATTTGTATTAATGATACTTAAAATCATAAATGGATTTTAGTATGATTAATAACAATTGTCAAATTGCTCTAATTATAAACATTTTATAGTTAAATTTCAATTAATTTAATTACGGTATACTGTATTAATTTATGAAATTATTAAGTGTCAATAGATGGAGATACGTCGGTAATTTTCATTTTTATTCTAGTAATTTGGCAATAATTCTCAATTATATTTAATATGAACGTAGTCTAAATTTTCCGTAATTAATAAATAAATATTAATATTATGGATTAATATATTGTGAAACTATAAATGAGAACACTTTCAACTAACCAGATGCCTATAGTTGAGCATGATATCTTGATAAAAGGTTTTTTTTTTAACTACAGAAGTTAAAATAATATATTGTGATGTCACTTTATTAAGTCACGAGGCTTCCAAAAATAAACTATTTCCGTTTTAAATAAACTAGCAAAGAGTTGCTGAAGTTTCCCGGCAACGTTTAAAATTTTGGTGGCTCCATCTGTTATCATATTTTATTAAAAACACTTTTTATATTTTAAACTATTATAAAATGGCAAAAAGCTTAATTTTGAAGATAGGGATGGGTTTTATAAAAAATTTTAAATGCTAATAACAAATAAAATTGTCATCAAGTCCGACCCTACTAGTGATACACACGACTCCCATTATCTCCCCACCCCCTCTACCTTTAATCACCAAAATATAATAAGATCAATCCCCCTTATATACAAACATCTCTGCAAAATTTTAGAAATTTTCGACCAAAATCACAGGAGTTATTAAGCTTTAAAGAGGGTGAACAAAATGGTGCTACACACATACACATACCCAAACACATACTGACATCTATTACATACAGAAATTACAGGTGAGAGATTTATAAAACTTTTGTAACAGATTGTGAGAGTATGGGAGGGTGTTAGTAGAATGATATGGTCATAAAGATTCTTAAAATTTTTTCTGTTTAAAATAATTTAACCAGCAAAATCATTATCCAGATATATTTTGATCAATAATCTCCTAGAAACTTCTTGCTTATTAATAGCTGCACTTTAGTAAAAGCGCTTTACTATGTTATATTGTTATTATATCTTTTACATTAATCTCTGTAGAAAGCGCTCTAGTATAACTTTTAATATGAAAGGTTAATACTAACAATTTAACCTCCACAGATGATTGTACTTCTAATTCAAATTCGCCTGGACCCCTTGAAGCTATGAGATGGATTACAGAAGATATGAAAAGTTTGATCAAGACTGAACAAAATAGTATAATTAAATATACTATTTTGTTTAGTCAAAGGAAAACGGACAAATATCACTTTAGATGTTGTTCAAATCAAAAAAGAAGGACTTAGAAGTGTAAGTATTAAAAATAAATATGATAATTAATTATGGAAAAATTAAATTTAGGCATAAATTATTTTTAAAATATTTAAAGTTGTAAAACATGGCACTTATTGCCATTTAATATCATTATCACGATATTAAGTGCTATGTTTTATGAGTTGTGGCAAGAATTATTACATCCAACTCGGACCAAATGCTATTCTTTGTTTTAAAATATAAGTAAAAAGGATTTTAAAATATAGTTTTAAGGAGATAATAATAAATATTCGATTAGATAAATACAAAATTTTCGATATGGACGCCAATTTTAAGGGACTCGATTGGCCTCAATAATATTTTAAGTGAAACTACCCTCTTAATCAATAAATAAAATAAATTATGCTACCTTTATTTTTCTTGAAATTTTTCGGCATAATTCTTGCATTGATCTTCAGATTCTGGAGGCTAATTATTTAATGTAGTTAATCATTAAAATAAGAACATCAATCACTCACTCAATGAAATCAATACATTCATTGACGAAAAAGTTAAGCAACTAGATAAAATTGGCCGATTAATGCAAAATTTGGCATACAGCTTTGCCTCAGATAGGTATGCAACCGTTTCTGTTGTGATCCGATCGCACGCCAAGTAATGTTACAAGAGTACCTTGAAATTGCTATCCCAATATTCTATAAAAAGACTCGCTGTGTTTAGAATTTTCAATGTATCTATAGTTTGAAGATCTTCGTAGTCAGATATGCCTGTACAACGCAAAGAAACTTGCACAGTTGAAGGAGTTTGAGTCTTTCTGACTTGACTCTGACGGGGTGTTGAAGGTAATGGTTACATGAGGGCACACATACTTGGTGGACAGGTTCTGGGCGACCTAGAACAGAGACGGAAGGCTCGCTGTAGAACCCTGTCTCTTCCTGCAACATAGATGTTGCAGGAGGAGACAGGGTTCTACAGCGTGTTAGTGGCTCTCGTGTTATTGTGAAAAATCACTAGTGAATACTTCAGTCCACCTTCAATGTTGATCGGCACACTTCCCCACAGTTAGCGTCTGGTCTGGCGATCCATCTCATATGATAGTCGGTCATCCCTAATTGGTACATATAACACAGATGCCACAACGGTACATTCAAGAAATCCTGTGGTCTCAAATGTTACCTTTCATTGCAGGGCTGCAAACAGCCATTTTTCGGAAAGCTAATGTTCAACTACACACAACTAGTTTTCCAGGAATGTCTCGCCACGATGCTACATTACCTTGGCCTGCCTAATCTCCAGATTTGTTCCCCATCTGGTATTTGTTGGACTGGAGTGAGACGCTTTGGCCATATACGAGGGATCTGGAGAGATATCTGTGGACAAATCGCGCATACAGACTTACAGGCACATATGCCTACAAGCCCGATCATCACTCTGAGTATTCAGTCCTACAAAGTACTAAAGATTCATTTAAATTGCACCATTACTACAGAAGAAATTGTACCTTTGCTATGATATTGTAATCACTTATAATCAGCGTTTAGCCTAATAAAGTATCATTGGATTTCATTGCTTCCTTCTTGATGCGTAACTTTTTTGTAAATGAGTGTAAATAATGAATGATTAAACAAAACTTACAGTTAACTTTCTGAATTTTATCTGAAAAAATTTAAATAAAAAATATAAATTGAATAAAAGAATGTTTAAATATTGCTTAGTCTGTACGTTTAATATTTACGTATTAATAAACTAGTTTTACATTAGAAAAATTACTATTATAAAAAGTTATAGTTATTATTAAAAACTTTGCTTTTTGCCCTNGATGAGATAAGGCCACATAACATGGGCGATCTGCCAAGGAGAAAGAGTCTAACGAGAGGATTTTTTTGGAAGTGATCACTATTTAAGTGTTATATACGCAAAGAAAACCCGGAAAACTTCACGCGGCCAATCCGTTGATCAGGTCCAAATCCATGATCAATTATCAGGTTTAGTGGTTTTATCCACTCTGCCACTAGCGGGCCGAAGAGAACAGTCATTAATTATGTATAGTTCTTACGCCATTTTTCACTCCTTCCCTGTTGTGTACAATTATATACTTTCGACATATCTTATCCCTTTTATTAACGTTTACAATAGTTTACGGACCTCCCTGAAATTGAAAAAAATGCCAAAGTTCTACTAATATTTTGTAATAAATTGGCTTATAAGACAGATTCTTTTGCCATTTAATGCCACTAAAGAAATCCAAGGAAGTACGTAATCCCTTGACACTCTCTCCTTATCATGTTCAGTGACGTACTTTTAGCAACCCCTTCTCTCACTTAAACTGTACACGTAATTAATGGACGATCCCAAATAAACTTATCAATATTATTTTATTTTCGATATTAGAATATTTCATTTATAATCGTTGAAATTTTATTACAACATTCTTTAATTTCAAAGTATTTATCATTTATTGTATCCTGTAATTAAATTCTACCCTTTTAAACGTTTCAAATTAATATTAAATTGTATATTTTATTTTTATAACTTTCTATCTGTATTATTTATAACCCATTTTTTTCCGGAGGACATGGTTCTGTGTAATAATTATTTTGTCGAAAGTTCTAATAAATTATAAATCATTACGAATACATTTTGATAATATTAAAAAATGTTTTAAATGTTTATTAGTTCAACTTTATTAATGCCTTACGTTTATAGGTCTAATAATGAATCATAGAAAAAAAAATTAAGTCAAAACAAATATATATTTCAAGTTTGTTAACAAGGTAAACATCTCAGAATAGTTTTGAAAATAAGGATGTTTATTCAAAATTTTAGCCAAAATTATCAAAAACAGTAACAAACAAGTAATACAAAAATATCTTTTTATGTTAATTATAATTAATTTCATTATGTAAATCTGTTATAAATCTTAATAATAAGCTGATAAATGACACATACACGTTTAATTCATAATAGAAATTTTGTGACATTTTATACGATTTAATTGATAATTTTTATGTTTTTGTTAAAATATTTATTTTTATAATATCGAATAATATGTTATTTTAAAAAATCTTGTAGTGAAATGTTTTCTTTATTTAAATCTAAAGTATAAAGTTTTGCTTTAAAGACGACACTTTTCTACGTAATTCACTTTTATCCAATAGTAGCATTTATTAATATATCGTCTCTACTTATAAAAGTATAAAAGGGGTTAAAATATTGGTAATAATAATACAAAGGCTTCGATCAGTTAATTAAACATGATCTGGTTTCTGTTAGTTTCCTTTGTTTTAACACTGAGTTTCAATCCTTCGTATGGAAAAGCAGTAAAGGTAAATTTTAAGTAGTAATATTATTAAATTTCTTCTTTGTGTTTTAAATCAATTACTTTATTTATCTTTAGAATTAAATTTTATATATTTTTAATTAAATGATTAAGTAATTTAAGTCATATATAATTATTTTATTTAATTAATATTGTTTTTCAAACTCTCCACCGTGTGGGCACTAAGAGGCCTTTTAGCAAGTCTGTCAGGCCCACAATGGCGTGTTATAGCTCAGGCGAATTTGAATTAGAGGCCTTAATTACAGTGTTGACTTCAGACATTTTTCTTTTTCGGGGAAATGCCTTTTTATAAAAAATTGGTATGGAACCCTTTGGATGATCCAGGCAATTGTACTTTTTTGCCCATAAGATAATGTGCCACTAGGAGGCCAGGTAATCAGAAACGGGCTCGACGTATCCGGACGGACCACCCCCAAAAATATTCATTCCGGGTCCCCAAGAGCAGTAGGCTATCACCTTAACCGATCGGCCATCCGGATAAGATATAGGTTATTTAATGCATAAACATTTTAAAAAAATGTACAGTACACAAAATAATCTTTTGTAATTTATTTAGAATTTTTTAAAATATATTTATTTAAAATAATTTTGTAATATTGTAATTACAGAGGCAAGTTCTGATAGCGAAAACAGAAAGTTGCGATCCTGCGGCACCGTGTGGATGGGAAGTATACGATCGTAGATATGGAATAGGTCAGGTCTTACTATATTGGCAAGAATCATTGTGAGTATTCAGGAATATTTTGTAAATATTCATTTTCTATTTTATATTTTTAATTAAAATATTTGATAATTTTTGTTAATTAATGCTAAATTAAAATTATATTCGAAATGTATTTTTTGAATGAAATTTTATACAATTCTATAATTTCAGAAAGAAAAATATTTAATACATTTATTGATTATCCAATTAAAGACCTTAAGAATTCATAGTTTTTATTTTATTTTGTTAAGCTTATTGCTTAAGGCTGATTGTAACCTCTTTGGTATTATTTATTTTAGTTGTTGGTGCGAAGAAGGAACAACATGCAAGAAATTTACTTGGAATAGTCAAAATTTTACTTTTGAGTTCAGATGCAGAGATGAAAATTTCACTTCTTCGTGGGATTAAGACTCTTCTAAAAACATAATATTTATAAAATAGAAAATTATTTTCATATATTTAATCAATGTAAACAATTCGAAACTTTTATTCAGTTTAAGACATAGAAAATGGGTGGTGCTTATAGTATTTTTTAATGATTTATTAAATTTTATCTTCAACGATAATAAATATTATATTTATAAATACAAGTTGGTTGATTGGTGAATTAACGCGAGACACCACGTTGTATGTCATATTTAAACCCTTTATGAGAGTCCAATACTCAATGAATAAGCATTGGATGTAGGATAAGGAACCATACCTCGATTCGTTATAAATAGTTCGTCATCATAATGAATAATATATCTGTTATGATTTAAACTATTTCAAAGAAATAAGTTGAAATAGCGTATTTATAATATGATTAAAAATAAATAAATAATTTTTTTAAACTATGCGAAAATGTTTGTTCTTATTTCTATAATATTGTTAGAACTATTATTTTCTACAAATGTAGCCTATATATATATAGAGTAGTACAAAAGCCAGTTACTTAGCGGCTTCAAACACAAATAAATCACTAATGAAGCTATTCGAACCGATTTTAATCACTTAAAATAACATTAAAAAACCCCGATTTAATAGATAATTAAAAGTTATTATTATTTTATTTATTTTCATTATCCAGTTTGAAGACTTTTAATGCTATATTTTATTTATTAATGCTTAAATTTTACAACAAAATTTATCAATTAAAATTCAAAATTATTTCAATAGTCCAAATTATCTTGAATAAGTGTAAATCCTTTCCGGATGATGAATTCTTTCCTAAATAAAATATTATATAATAAATATTTTCTTAATAATTAAAAATAAATATGATAATTAATTATGGAAAAATTAAATTTAGGCATAAATTATTTTTAAAATATTTAAAGTTGTAAAACATGGCACTTATTGCCATTTAATATCATTATCACGATATTAAGTGCTATGTTTTATGAGTTGTGGCAAGAATTATTACATCCAACTCGGACCAAATGCTATTCTTTGTTTTAAAATATAAGTAAAAAGGATTTTAAAATATAGTTTTAAGGAGATAATAATAAATATTCGATTAGATAAATACAAAATTTTCGATATGGACGCCAATTTTAAGGGACTCGATTGGCCTCAATAATATTTTAAGTGAAACTACCCTCTTAATCAATAAATAAAATAAATTATGCTACCTTTATTTTTCTTGAAATTTTTCGGCATAATTCTTGCATTGATCTTCAGATTCTGGAGGCTAATTATTTAATGTAGTTAATCATTAAAATAAGAACATCAATCACTCACTCAATGAAATCAATACATTCATTGACGAAAAAGTTAAGCAACTAGATAAAATTGGCCGATTAATGCAAAATTTGGCATACAGCTTTGCCTCAGATAGGTATGCAACCGTTTCTGTTGTGATCCGATCGCACGCCAAGTAATGTTACAAGAGTACCTTGAAATTGCTATCCCAATATTCTATAAAAAGACTCGCTGTGTTTAGAATTTTCAATGTATCTATAGTTTGAAGATCTTCGTAGTCAGATATGCCTGTACAACGCAAAGAAACTTGCACAGTTGAAGGAGTTTGAGTCTTTCTGACTTGACTCTGACGGGGTGTTGAAGGTAATGGTTACATGAGGGCACACATACTTGGTGGACAGGTTCTGGGCGACCTAGAACAGAGACGGAAGGCTCGCTGTAGAACCCTGTCTCTTCCTGCAACATAGATGTTGCAGGAGGAGACAGGGTTCTACAGCGTGTTAGTGGCTCTCGTGTTATTGTGAAAAATCACTAGTGAATACTTCAGTCCACCTTCAATGTTGATCGGCACACTTCCCCACAGTTAGCGTCTGGTCTGGCGATCCATCTCATATGATAGTCGGTCATCCCTAATTGGTACATATAACACAGATGCCACAACGGTACATTCAAGAAATCCTGTGGTCTCAAATGTTACCTTTCATTGCAGGGCTGCAAACAGCCATTTTTCGGAAAGCTAATGTTCAACTACACACAACTAGTTTTCCAGGAATGTCTCGCCACGATGCTACATTACCTTGGCCTGCCTAATCTCCAGATTTGTTCCCCATCTGGTATTTGTTGGACTGGAGTGAGACGCTTTGGCCATATACGAGGGATCTGGAGAGATATCTGTGGACAAATCGCGCATACAGACTTACAGGCACATATGCCTACAAGCCCGATCATCACTCTGAGTATTCAGTCCTACAAAGTACTAAAGATTCATTTAAATTGCACCATTACTACAGAAGAAATTGTACCTTTGCTATGATATTGTAATCACTTATAATCAGCGTTTAGCCTAATAAAGTATCATTGGATTTCATTGCTTCCTTCTTGATGCGTAACTTTTTTGTAAATGAGTGTAAATAATGAATGATTAAACAAAACTTACAGTTAACTTTCTGAATTTTATCTGAAAAAATTTAAATAAAAAATATAAATTGAATAAAAGAATGTTTAAATATTGCTTAGTCTGTACGTTTAATATTTACGTATTAATAAACTAGTTTTACATTAGAAAAATTACTATTATAAAAAGTTATAGTTATTATTAAAAACTTTGCTTTTTGCCCTTATATTAATACTATTTAACATATTCATTTTTACATAAACAAATATTTGGGTTTCTTGTGTATGACAAGCCTTAATATATTGTTTACTACTGTTTTAGTTTACGTAAAAATAAATAAAGAGGTTGCGGCCGATGTTTTTATCGCAAAAACGTGTACGTCGGACGTTCAGCGCCGCCATCTTATAAGCCTAGAAGTTTGACAATGGCGTTTGGAACATCAGTGGAATCATACTCGATGTTCCAAACGCCATTGTCAAACTTCTAGGTTTACAAGATGGCGGCGCTGAACGTCCGACGTACACGTTTTNTTTATTTTTGATTCTTATTACCCTCGGGCGTTTTTAATCATACCTTTCATGCCAAGCTGCTGTTGTAAAGAGGGGGCTTGATGTATTTTAAATTTATAAATGAAATCTTATCAGATAATAAATATCAATGTTTGTTTGGATTGATGAGATAAGGCCACATAACATGGGCGATCTGCCAAGGAGAAAGAGTCTAACGAGAGGATTTTTTTGGAAGTGATCACTATTTAAGTGTTATATACGCAAAGAAAACCCGGAAAACTTCACGCGGCCAATCCGTTGATCAGGTCCAAATCCATGATCAATTATCAGGTTTAGTGGTTTTATCCACTCTGCCACTAGCGGGCCGAAGAGAACAGTCATTAATTATGTATAGTTCTTACGCCATTTTTCACTCCTTCCCTGTTGTGTACAATTATATACTTTCGACATATCTTATCCCTTTTATTAACGTTTACAATAGTTTACGGACCTCCCTGAAATTGAAAAAAATGCCAAAGTTCTACTAATATTTTGTAATAAATTGGCTTATAAGACAGATTCTTTTGCCATTTAATGCCACTAAAGAAATCCAAGGAAGTACGTAATCCCTTGACACTCTCTCCTTATCATGTTCAGTGACGTACTTTTAGCAACCCCTTCTCTCACTTAAACTGTACACGTAATTAATGGACGATCCCAAATAAACTTATCAATATTATTTTATTTTCGATATTAGAATATTTCATTTATAATCGTTGAAATTTTATTACAACATTCTTTAATTTCAAAGTATTTATCATTTATTGTATCCTGTAATTAAATTCTACCCTTTTAAACGTTTCAAATTAATATTAAATTGTATATTTTATTTTTATAACTTTCTATCTGTATTATTTATAACCCATTTTTTTCCGGAGGACATGGTTCTGTGTAATAATTATTTTGTCGAAAGTTCTAATAAATTATAAATCATTACGAATACATTTTGATAATATTAAAAAATGTTTTAAATGTTTATTAGTTCAACTTTATTAATGCCTTACGTTTATAGGTCTAATAATGAATCATAGAAAAAAAAATTAAGTCAAAACAAATATATATTTCAAGTTTGTTAACAAGGTAAACATCTCAGAATAGTTTTGAAAATAAGGATGTTTATTCAAAATTTTAGCCAAAATTATCAAAAACAGTAACAAACAAGTAATACAAAAATATCTTTTTATGTTAATTATAATTAATTTCATTATGTAAATCTGTTATAAATCTTAATAATAAGCTGATAAATGACACATACACGTTTAATTCATAATAGAAATTTTGTGACATTTTATACGATTTAATTGATAATTTTTATGTTTTTGTTAAAATATTTATTTTTATAATATCGAATAATATGTTATTTTAAAAAATCTTGTAGTGAAATGTTTTCTTTATTTAAATCTAAAGTATAAAGTTTTGCTTTAAAGACGACACTTTTCTACGTAATTCACTTTTATCCAATAGTAGCATTTATTAATATATCGTCTCTACTTATAAAAGTATAAAAGGGGTTAAAATATTGGTAATAATAATACAAAGGCTTCGATCAGTTAATTAAACATGATCTGGTTTCTGTTAGTTTCCTTTGTTTTAACACTGAGTTTCAATCCTTCGTATGGAAAAGCAGTAAAGGTAAATTTTAAGTAGTAATATTATTAAATTTCTTCTTTGTGTTTTAAATCAATTACTTTATTTATCTTTAGAATTAAATTTTATATATTTTTAATTAAATGATTAAGTAATTTAAGTCATATATAATTATTTTATTTAATTAATATTCACTAACTGAAAAATATTGCTATAAGAAATTTATTTTTTGAATGTAAACAATTCGAAATAATGTCTTATACAACAATGTCCAACAATCGCCTTTAATTAAGAACAATGCTTTATTATTGAAGGAAGAATCTGACACGAAGAAGAATTTCTAAGAACTTGTGCATTTGGATACTCTCATATTTCACATTTCTATATATTTTATAAAAGGTTTGTAAAAATTTGTGTAACTTGTGTTTGTAAATATGTATTTAGGTAATTAAAAGAATCTGTGGCCTGTGAGGGTGAAGATCCTTCGGGAGTCAAAATACATTCCAATGAAACAGTTCTGATCAGTGAGGCACAATCGACAGGAGAGAAATCTTCCAGTCGGGTGATTTACAGCATTAACATTTCCAAGTTCTTGGTAAAACTTTAATAATGATAGGAAAAAACTTTGAAGAATAATTAGAACTGTTTGACATCACCGAAGAAGACGAGTATACTTAGAGTGAGATCTACAAAGTGTTTCTCTATACAGGTAAGTCAATCTTACTCACTCTCAGTGGCGCGTTATAGCTTCATGGGGTTCTGCAAATTTGAATTAGGTGTCCCATGTAGAATGTCGATTTCAGACATTTTTCTTCGAGGAATATTTTGGGAAGAATTCACTTTGGTTTTCTTAAGTTCAGCACTACTCCAGTGCTCCCTTCATCTGAGCCAAAGTTGGAATCAATCTTTTAAAGAAGAAAGACGTATTTTTTAAGGGAATTCGAACGTTAATTCGAGGATAAAATAAAGATTTAGGAGATCCAGGTTCACTCCTCAAGCACCACGTAAAGGATATCAAATCTAAATAAAGAACAGAGAGTTCAATTTTGATTTCTAACGTCTTTCTTTGTCGCTTATTAAAATTTATGTTTGTACAAATTTAATGTAGTTTACGAAAAGAACCTGTGTGAACTGTGACTATTGGCTATCAAAATATAGATCGTAAAGAGATAATTCTGATTCGTAATTAACCACGTCGTAACTGTAACGTGAATCATTTTTCTTTCGTATTGGAGTGGGTTGGTTAATTGATTGACTTACGGACAATAATGGTGTTCTATTTGTGTTTATTAAGGATTATCTAATTAACAATAATGACGGACGTTTAGGTTGAGGAATTGGAAATGATACTATCCGTGAAGAAATCATAAAGATTAGAGTAGAAACACGATCTCTTACAACAGGAGGGAAATTTATAATTAAGTCGTTTTTTCCATTTTATAGATTATTAATTAATTTATACAGTACAGATGTTATATATATGTAGACTATATATTAATTACGAAAATAAACTATTCTAATATAGTGAGATTACTATTATATACAGTTGAAGTCCCGATTATTCGAGGGATCGTCGGTCGAAATTACCTCGGGTAAAACAAAGATTCCGCTGTACTAACATAGATTTATTATAAAATATTGATAATGTTTTTATATAAAAATTTTTAAAAGTGTGTTTAGAATTTACATTAAAAATTCTTTGATTCCGTCTTTTGAAATTTTTTTAGTTTGAAGAAATGTCTTATAAGATATTATATGTATTAACAATTCTAACATTCTTAAATATTGAAGAGTCATAAATTATTAAAAGAAAATAGTTCTTTTAATGCTAATGCTGTTAAAGATGTGTTATATATTGTGTAAACTCAGCTATTGAATTGCATTTCATCTGTAAACGATGCAAATCTATCAAAGACACATTGAAAATAGTAATTTGTTTTGTAGTAAAGGCAAAGTTTTTATTTGTAAATTAATTGGCCTTCATTAATTACACATGGCTCGACCTTCATGTGTATACTCTTCATATAAAATAACATATAATGAATTATTGAAATATATACTATGTATGAAGCTTGCTAATTTCAGTCTGTGGCGTTGAAATAGAACTAATTTCAATTAGCTTAAATATAATAAAATCAATTGAAAATGTGCTAGTTGTAAAACTAAGAAAGCAACTGCAGTGCACTTCGTTTAATTTACCAACCAAATAGCATGATAATCCATGTTTTAGTTGGTGATAACTCGGGTGGTATAGAAGATACAGAAGTTGTTATATTCACTTCAACTGCGCTTTTGTCTTGTGATATGGAAACTGTTAGGCAACTCACATTATAATTAGAATTAATGAGGAACGAACTGATAAAAATCAAAAGACACAATGTCCTATTTAGTAAATTTGATAAGATGGAAGAAAGATGAAATATTTTGGAAGGTTATAGAAGGCAGTTGCGTAACGACATTACGGTATTCAGCAAGGCAATAAAGAACATGAAGATGAAATAATAACAATCAAACAACAATATCGAAACTTGGGACAGAAAAATTATAGTTTCTATTTAAAAATTCATGATACACCATAAATTCAGCATTAAAATCTAAATCCATATAACATTTTTTCACATATTGATCCTCATTTTGAAAAGTTCCGATTAATAAATGCAATTCGTGTAGTTCTAAGTGAAAATTTCCTAACCCATGTTAATCAAATTAGATTTTGCTATGACAAAGCAAAAGATTACTAATACTATTACAACAAAGAAACTAATGTCTACAGATGTATGTGAAATTGTAGATGAGAATTCTCGAATTTACCTTATTGATCATTTAAATCCATATTGCAGAAGTATATTTTATAAAACGAGATTTAAAAAAAAAGAGAGAAGAATATTTTATAATGGAAATATTTATGTAAGAAAAAGTTTATCACTATCTGCACGCTGTAGTTTGTCAATAGAAATTTAGATAATTTAGTGCTTAATTTATGTAAGGTATCATTTAGAAACGAGATTAATACTGAAAGGATATTGATACATCGATAACTAATTTCTCAGAGGATGTATAAAACGTATGGACTGAATTCAAAATGCAAGAAAAGTTTGGATATTACGGATAATTATAACTGTTATTTAATCTTGTTTGTATAATCGAGAGGTGAGCAAATGCTGAATTTCCTTCTTCTATATATACGGAAAAATACAATATGAAAAAATTTAAAAGGCCTCTAACTAAACATGTTGTATAGTCAGTACAGTATATCAAAACAAATTCATCAACTACAGTATAATTTAACTTGTGAATTACCTTAAAGCTTGCAGCTTGGACCTTTACAATTTAATATACATTATATATAAATGATTTACCGAAGTTAATGTCTGGAGTATGGATTATGTTATATGCAGATGACATAGCGATAACATTCTAATAAAAGCATTAAAATTATGGTGGAAAAATTAAATAATAATTTGAATATCTTTGCTGTTTATTTAGAATTAGTAATATTAATGTATAGTTTATAATTTATGAATGAATGTATCTGTCTGCATCTATAACATCTACCTATGCCAGAAGAAAATCCACCTGAAATGAATAATCTGATCTATCAAGGCATGTCTGATCTATCTCCTGCAGTTGCTAACAAGTCTGTGTTCTGTCTTAAAAACTCGGAAGCCAAGAACACGTGAAAGTAGTGAGTGTGAAGAAGAAAAAATGCGGACCCAGCAATGCTTAACCTGATAACATCTTATGGCCACATGACAACCAATTCTGATAAGGAAAAGATAGCTCTGGACCTAGTCACAGCAATCAGGAAATACCAAACCTGTGAGGCCTTATGACAAAGCAAGACATTTCAAAAGAATGACCTATAAGAGAGGAAAAAATTCCTGTCTATTGTGATTTCGGCCCCAAACTTCAATGGCTTACAGAACAAACAAGAAAAATCATCTGCAGGTCTGCGCTCTCCAAGTCTGCAAAAACCAATTGCTTTTGATGATACAAAAACAAAATCTATGAAAAAGAAAAAGGAATTCGACGATGCAAGGTGCATTTTTTGCAGTAAAAAACCCTCTACGAGATACAGTGAAATGTGGAGATAGTGCTCGAGGTGTATGCAATGGCCCATGAATTCTGTGTTAGAAATGGTCAGACTAATGAAAGAGTATCTATGTGAGCTTTGTAAATAAGTAATTAGTAAATAGGATTATACGCATATAAAAAAACAACAACTTATCATTCGGGATTAAATGGTCTCTGTGAGATCATTTTACTCAGACTAGGGAATAAAATGGTCTTTTTCTAGAAACTAAGAAGACTTTTGGATACTGCTCTTGTTATCAAAATGTCTAAATTATTGAAATTATGAGAGAGGACCTTCATTACCAGATTAGACATCGAAATAAGTTTTTAATTTATAAAGGATAGCAGTTCTTCCTAAGGGGATCATACTCCCTCCATCTTCCATAATACAGAAAATAACTCCCAAACAAAGGCAAATTATAATTAAATAATTAAAATATTAAAAGTTACAATGCAATAAGAGGATAGGATGATTCTGCACATTTAACTGGAATAAATTATTCCATACTAAAATGAAATAATTAAATATTAGCTTCTCTTATATCTGATACATAGGTCTGATACATAGGATACATCTGAAGTACGATACTAAATATATTTGTTCTTTTTTATACCGGTCAACGAAATGAGAGGAAAAAGTTTTAATTTTCAGAGGCATTAAACTCTCAAAAAGGAAGATTTTTACTCAAGAATTTAAAACATGCACTTACATAACATCACCCTACATCGATACGCACAAATTCGAACAACTATAGAATCGTCGCATCCATTCAATTATACACCATGCGTAAACATCATAACTAACACAATGAAATAACCCGAACACTGCTTCCCAAAATCCATCCCCTGGGTCCTCGTCCCGGGAAGTGGTAACGCCATTTGATAATTTATCTATCGGCGGCTGAAGGGGCTCTGGTACACATTTAATCTGCTTTTCATACTCATATTTTCCGTTATGATTACATTGAAAATTTCAAGCATATATTGTGAGTTTTTTACTTGTGTAACCTGAACGCGAAAATTTGTGTAATGGAGATGAATTTCCCAGGGGAAGGAGAAGAGATAGACCGAGAGGACGATAATTTAACAGCGTGTTTGAGCACATGATGGCTCTTGTAATTAATCGGAACTTGACAGAGGATAAAGGTGGAAGAAAGCGATCTACAGCAGCACCTCACAAGAATGGAACTAATAAGCTGAAGAAGATAAGTCTATATGATATTAGTCCCAAGAATGGGACTAATATCATAGAAACATATTAAAAACTAAAAATGGAGATATGTGTGGGAGGGAATTACATACATACTTCACTAATTCATATTGTAGAATAGGAATAATTGAATAAATTTTTGGTGTGTTAATTTATATATAATATGTGTTTAGATAAAATAAACACAAGAAGAATCAATTATTTTAAGTTATCAATCTATCTAATATGTTTCCAATGTTTCTTACTTTGAGTTATGATTACGTATATTATTATTTTCATTGTGTTTTATTTATAAAATGCGATATAAAAGTTTAATTTATATAAAAAGCAAATTAACATTCGAAAATATCCTAAAATTCATTTTAAAAAATTAATATAATCGATAACTGTTAACAATAAAAACACGAATTTTAATAATAGAAATACTTCTATTTTTAAATTATATCTACTTATAGAATGAAAATCTATGAAATACTTTATACAGTGTCTGTGTTCTGTCTTAAAAACTCGGAAGCCAAGAACACGTGAAAGTAGTGAGTGTGAAGAAGAAAAAATGCGGACCCAGCAATGCTTAACCTGATAACATCTTATGGCCACATGACAACCAATTCTGATAAGGAAAAGATAGCTCTGGACCTAGTCACAGCAATCAGGAAATACCAAACCTGTGAGGCCTTATGACAAAGCAAGACATTTCAAAAGAATGNGCGTTGAATTTTCATCGATGTTAAGCCTAACAAAAATTTTTTAAAATAATAATCGTCGCTATTGTATCGTTAAAAATTATAAAATTAAGCTTCGTTTAAATACTGGCTCCCTTTCATGGTCGAATGAGTGTTGCCAGCTAAAACACGTAAAAATAATATTAAAGTAGCCAAGACATAGCCAAATGTTGTAGCGCCACATCACTAGCAGACATTTGAATTTGCCGATTAGAGCGGTCGGTTAACCAAGGTGACGGTTAATCGGGGGTCGGATAATCGATGCTCTACTGTAATATCTAATTCTTAAAAGTGTGTAATTAATTAATTAATTAATTAAAACTTACATTGTTTCTGATCGTACAAATTGAAATCTGTAATATTTTAATAAGCAAAATTCATATTTAATTTCTTTTTTAATTTTATGTTTCTAAATTATAAAAACTTACCATTCCATTATTAACGCTTACACTTGACTGATCAGAACAAATTAATAAATATCAATTTATGAGTTAAACTTATTCAAATTTTTAAAATATTTTTGATTTTAAAGATAATGGTAGGAATTAAATTAATGTATTTCCTATTATTTTATTTTATTAATATATTAAATTTATACTTACTCCACTACTTACACCACTACTGAAATAGGTACTACTCGACTGTCTTTTCTGGAGATCCATCTCATATGATAGTCGGTCATCCCTAATTGGTACATATAACACAGATGCCACAACGGTACATTCAAGAAATCCTGTGGTCTCAAATGTTACCTTTCATTGCAGGGCTGCAAACAGCCATTTTTCGGAAAGCTAATGTTCAACTACACACAACTAGTTTTCCAGGAATGTCTCGCCACGATGCTACATTACCTTGGCCTGCCTAATCTCCAGATTTGTTCCCCATCTGGTATTTGTTGGACTGGAGTGAGACGCTTTGGCCATATACGAGGGATCTGGAGAGATATCTGTGGACAAATCGCGCATACAGACTTACAGGCACATATGCCTACAAGCCCGATCATCACTCTGAGTATTCAGTCCTACAAAGTACTAAAGATTCATTTAAATTGCACCATTACTACAGAAGAAATTGTACCTTTGCTATGATATTGTAATCACTTATAATCAGCGTTTAGCCTAATAAAGTATCATTGGATTTCATTGCTTCCTTCTTGATGCGTAACTTTTTTGTAAATGAGTGTAAATAATGAATGATTAAACAAAACTTACAGTTAACTTTCTGAATTTTATCTGAAAAAATTTAAATAAAAAATATAAATTGAATAAAAGAATGTTTAAATATTGCTTAGTCTGTACGTTTAATATTTACGTATTAATAAACTAGTTTTACATTAGAAAAATTACTATTATAAAAAGTTATAGTTATTATTAAAAACTTTGCTTTTTGCCCTTATATTAATACTATTTAACATATTCATTTTTACATAAACAAATATTTGGGTTTCTTGTGTATGACAAGCCTTAATATATTGTTTACTACTGTTTTAGTTTACGTAAAAATAAATAAAGAGGTTGCGGCCGATGTTTTTATCGCAAAAACGTGTACGTCGGACGTTCAGCGCCGCCATCTTATAAGCCTAGAAGTTTGACAATGGCGTTTGGAACATCAGTGGAATCATACTCGATGTTCCAAACGCCATTGTCAAACTTCTAGGTTTACAAGATGGCGGCGCTGAACGTCCGACGTACACGTTTTCGCGTTGAAAACTTCGGCCGCAACTTCGCCAAAGTCAAAAATAGGCCTAATTATTTAGTGCTATTAAACATCTTATAAATACTTTAAAACAGTTTAATTTGTTT